CCAGTGGTTAGATTATGTACATAAATATGAGTGGGTCAAGATCCAACATGCACTTAATGGTGGTGAAATATTGTGAATTATAGAATAGACAGTTTCTGCATGGAACAAAACATGATTTATGAGTTTTACGGGCGCTACTACTACGGTTGTAATAATTGTTATGGTTCTGACACAAAGAATGTAGTTCTAAATAGACCCATGTGGTTTATTAGAAATCGTATATTAGAATGACAGAAACAACTCGAAGCTCTAGGATACAAGGTCATAACAATATGGGAGCATGAATTTAAGAAAATTAAGTCTAATGATACACATTTAATGAATTTACTTAGAGACTATATAATAGTTTCCCGTCTGAAGGTACAAGATGCCTTCTATGGAGGGAGAGTCAACGTGACAAGACTTTTATATGATATAAAGAACTACAAAGATCAAGTACATGGATTTTATATTGCTATATCCACGGACAAACAAATATTGTGGGTATCCAGTTGGACATTTTACAATAATAACAACACATTTTTCTTAATTTAAACAATTATTTTTGGTTTTATAAAATGTAAAATTCTAGCCTCAAGGAAACTGTATCATCCAGTTTTACCATTTAGAAGTAATGGTAAATTAATCTTTCCTTTATATGGTATCCAGATCACTTCTACCATGTAACCACAGCAATGACAAGAGAGGTTTCATAGGTACCTGGGTCACAGAAGAAGTAAAAAAAGCAGTTGAGTGTGGTTACCAAGCAATAAGAATATGTGAGATGTATCATTTTCCTGTCAGGTCTAGAGATTTTTTAAGAACTATATCGATGAGTTTCTAAAATTAAAGCAAGAAAGTTCTGGTTGGCCCTCTTACTGAATAAAATTGGAGGCAAAGCAAGATCATGTTGATCAATATAAAGAAAATGAAGGTGTGCAAATGATCCCTGAAAATATTCTGTTTAATCCAGGGAAAATGTCAGTTGCAAAATTATGTCTTAATTCTTTTGTGTTACGTTGGAGTATGTCTGAGAACAAACTACAACTTACCTGTGTAACATCTGTTACAGAATATCATTCATTAATGAATGATAATACCAAAATAATAACAGATGTTACACTGATTAATGAAGAAGTAATAGTTCTCTAGTCCTAAGCCTAGCTCTGTAGATTTTGGACTGATTTTGGGTTCCATACCTGAGTTCTAGAGCAGCTACCAGTGATCTATAGTTGTGCCTGTCGTCTGCTGACAACTGTCCAAGTATTGCCAGTGGTTGTCCCTTCAGACTCATTGACAGATATAATGCTTTCTACTCCTCTGTCCATCTATTCATCTCTGCCAGGAGCTCAAACTGTGCTCTATTTGCTTCCCACAGTGCCTTCCCATCGAATTCCTGTGGATTCCTTTGTACTAGATCACCCCTATTACTGACATTCATATCTGGGATGTGACTTCTAACAGGACTGAAGATGTCTGCATTAGGGTTTAGCTGCGGGGTATGGAAGGGGCTTGCCTTTGTCTGGGGTTGATTAAGTCGATGGTTAATGTATCCTCCTTGTGTAAAAGACAATAAATCATCCTTTAATGCATTTAATATACTTTGAAATTTACTAAAGTTTTCTTTTTGTGCATACTAGCTTTCTCTCAATTGTTGGATACTTTTTCTTGTTTATTTTCTTTCTCCTCCATCCACTGATGTAGTCTCTCTTCTTGTTCATTTTCTTTCTCCTTCAACCACTGCTGTAATCTTTCTTCTTCTTTATTTTCTTTCTCCTTCAACCACCGCTGTAGTCTCTCTTCTTGTTTATTTTCTTTTCCTCCGACCACTGCTGTACTCTTTATCTTCTTGTTTCTTTTCTCGTTCTTCGCGTTTCTTTTCTTTTTCCTCCAACAACTACTGTAAT